TATATATAGCCAAGATATTGTAATGGAGTTTGGCTTGGACAAATGTGCCACACTTACTATCAAACAAGGAAAAATAGTGAAAACTGAAGGAATCAAGATGCCCCACGAAAATAACATTAAGAGTCTGGATGAGGAAGAGTACTACAAATACTTGGGTATCCTTCAAGCTGACAACATCAAGCACACTGAAGTCAAGAAAAAGATTAGAGGTGAATACATCAAGAGAGTGAAGAAGATCTTAAAATCCAAACTCAATGGAGGAAATACCATAAAGGCAATCAACACCTGGGCAATCCCAGTCATTAGGTACACAGCTGGAATAGTGGACTGGACTCAAGCAGAACTAAAAGCAATGGATAGGCAGACCAGAAAAATAATGACAATGAATCATGCCCTTCATCCACGCAGTGACATTGATAGACTTTATCTACCAAGGCAAATAGGTGGGCGTGGAATGCTACAAGTACATCAGATGGTTGAAGAAGAAAAAATGGCTTTGGAAGAATATCTGAAGAACAATGATGAAGATGCACTGAAATTAGTATATCAGGAAGGCTTACTAACTACTGGAGAGACCAAACTGGCCTACAAGAAAGACCAAATGAAGAACAGAATAGAGGCATGGGAAGACAAAGCACTACATGGCCAATACATTAAAAAAATAGCTGGGAAAGCAGATAATAATAAAACCTGGCAATGGCTAAGAGCAGGAAAATTGAAGAAAGAGACCGAGGGACTAATTCTGGCTGCACAAGACCAAGCCTTAAGGACAAATGCATACAAAGTCAAAATTGAGAAGACAGCAACAGACAGTAAGTGCCGCCTATGCAAAGAAGCTGAAGAAACAGTGGACCACTTGGTAAGCTGTTGCAAGAAGATTGCACAGACTGATTACAAGCAGCGGCATGACAAAGTAGCAACAATGGTGCATTGGAAGATCTGCAAAAAATATCATTTGCCTGTAAGCAAAAACTGGTGGGATCATAAAATAGAGAAAGTCATAGAAAATGATAAAATTAAACTGCTCTGGGACTTCAGAATTCAAACAGACAAGCACCTGCAACATAACACCCCAGACTTAACAATTGTCGATAAGAAAGACAAAAAAGTCTGGATAGTGGACGTGGCAGTGCCTGGAGACAGCAGAATAGAAGAGAAAGAACTGGAGAAGATAACAAAATACAAAGACCTACAAATAGAAATAGAAAGACTGTGGCAAAAGCAAGCAAGGGTAGTACCAATAGTCATAGGCTCCTTGGGTGCAATCCCAAAACAACTGGAGCACCACTTGAACACCATTGGCATTGACAAATTTGCTATTAGTCAATTGCAAAAGGCGGCCTTATTAGGAACTGCTTCCATCCTGCGACGATATCTGTAATACCATCAAACATCCACATCTGCCTATCCCAGGTCCTGGGTAAGGACTCGATAGGTAGACAAAATGCCAAATCCAGTCTGAACATCTGGCTGACTGTGCGATGATCGATAATAATAATAATAATAATAATAATAATGTTGTAAGGGACCTTGGAGGCCATCTAGTCGAACACTCTGCTCAGGCAGGAAACCCTATACCGTTTCAAACAAATGGCTGTCCAGTCTCTTCTTAAAAACTTCCAGTGTTGGAGCATTCACAGCTTCTGGAGGCAGGTTGTTCCACTGGTTAATTGTTCTAGCTGTCAGGAAATTTCTCCTTAGTTCTAGGTTGCTTCTCTTTTTGGTTAGTTTCCATCTGTTGCTTCTTGTCCTGCCTTTAGGTGCTTTGGAGAATAGCTTGACTCCCTCTTCTTTGTGGCAGCCCCTGAGATATTGGAACACTGCTATCATGTCATCCCTTGTCTTTAGAGTAGAGTAGAGTAGAGTAGAGTAGAGTAGAGTAGAATAGAATAGAATAGAATAGAATAGAATAGAATAGAATAGAATAGAATAGAATAGAATAGAATAGAATAGAATAGAATAGAATAGAATAGAATAGAACAGAACAGAACAGAACAGAACAGAATAGAACAGAATAGGAAGGGACCTTGAAGGTGTTCTAATCCAGCCCCCTGCTCAAGCAGGAGAATCTATACCATCTCAGATAAGTGACTGTCTAACTTGTTTTTAAAAATCTCCAGTGATGGAACGCCCATGATTTTTGAAGACAAGCTATTCCACTGGTTAATTGTCCTCACTGTCAGGAAGTTTCTCCTTACTTTCAGGTTGCTTCTCCCTTTGGTCAGTTTCCAACCATTGTTTCTTGTCCTGTCCTCTGGTGCTTTGGTGAATAACGTGACCCCCTCTTCTTTGTGGCAGCCCCTCAAATGCTGCAATACTGTTATCATGTCTTCCCTAGTTCTTCTTTTCTTTAGACCAGAGTTCCCCAACCCCCATTCTGTGGACCAATACCGGTCCACAACATGCCAGTAACTGGTCTGCACAAACAAGCAAAGCCCCATCTGCGGGATGCAGGCAGCACACAAAACCATCTTGTAGTTTCCCCTCAGGTTCTTTCACTAGTAAAAGAGGCTTCTGTTTTCTTATCTTATTCTTAGGATGGCTTTGAATTTCTTTTGATGGATTTCATTTGAGCTGGCTTCAATGCTGGAAATAACAGAAAATATCACTCTTTATATTCCTTTATTTTATGCATCTTTCTAATATGCTGAAGTCTTCCGAGATCCCATGCTTCCCAGACTGAAAAAAGCAGTATTGGAAGAAAAGGACTTTTCTTGAGGACAAATGGAAGGCAGGGAGGTAGTAAACTGCTGAAAACATGATTATTCAATAAAAAGTTGGACATTACTTAGCCATTTTGTAATTCAAAAAATGCAAAAAACATTATAGAATTGCATGAGATCTGCTAGGAAAAAAAATGTATAGTGATGTTCAGCTTAAAAAACCAGCCCAAAATGTGAAGATAAGCACTATAAAATTTCATTTCATTTCTTCCTTTATCTCACTGCAAGTTGATCTCACTATAAGTTGTTGAACTTCTTTCTGCACTTATAAAAATTATCAGCTTTATGTCAAATGATTCTGTCTTCATGTGATGTGCTGTAAGAATGATGGCCTCCTAATTTTCTTTAAGAAAAGTACAAGGAAGTTGTTAAGCTAGCCTAAAATAGGGTTGGGGAGATTGTGTTTCATTATATTCAGTGAACCATTTTAACTATTATGCTATTCTAATCCTGTGTTTGAAATAGGCATGTTATATGTATTCAGCCAAAATATAGATTGGAAAGGGATACCATTCAGAAGTTTCAATTTGTAGGACACTTGGTACTGAGGTTGTTGGATCTGGTTTGGAGATTTGTTTCATAAGACTGTAGAGGTAGTCCTCAATTTACAACTATTCATTTAGTGACCTTTCAAAGTGATAACAGCACTGATAAAAGTGATGTTTTTCACCCTTACAACTGTGGCAGCATCCTAAAGTCACATGATCAAAACTCAGATGCTTAACAACTGACAGGTATTTATGATAGTTATAATATCCTGGGATCATGTAATCAGCTTTTGTGATTTTCTGACAAGCAAAGACAGTGGAGGATCTAGATCAGCAGTTCTCAACCTGTGGGTCGCGACCCTATTTGGGGTCGAATGACCATTTCACGGGGGTCGCCAAACAAGGCTGTCCGCCATTGTTTTTCCCCTTTTCTTTAGCTGTGCTACTCCCTCTTATTCTATTGGCTTGTAAAAGCCAATAGAATAGACTCTATACAAGAGACTCTATTCTATTGGTGTTCGAAAGCCAATAGAATCTACTGGCTTTCAAAAGCCAATAGAATAGACTCTCTTGAATAGAATCTAATTCTATTGGCTTTCAAAAGCCAATAGGAATTGTCCAGGCTGTCTCTGCCATGCTGAGCCTGCCAAAAGCCCCAGTCTGCAAATGGTGCTGCAAGGCGAACTTTCTGGAAAGCTTCCCTCCCTGCTGATCAATTACTAAAAGTAAGTAAAAGAGGGCCAAGGGTGGGAGGTGGGAGGCCAGCGGGCGCAGGGAGGGTTGCTGGCGCGCGTGGGGCCCGGCGGGTGCCTTACCTCCCTTGGGCTGGGCCAGCTGGTGGCCCAGCTGGTGGTCGCCCTGCGCCCTCACTTCCACGTGCCATGGCCGTCAAGGAGCACCTGGGCCTGCCTGCCGCTGCATCGAACGTGCGGTGGCCAAGGTAAGGCTAGCGGGGCAGCGGCGGGCGCAGGGAGGGTTGCTGGCGCACATGGGGCCTGGCAGGTGGCTTACCTCCCTTGGGCTGGGCCAGCTGATGGCCCAGCCAGTGGTCGGCCTGCACCATCGCTGCCGCTTGCCAGCTACGCCTCGGCCGGCGCAGGGGGCAGCACCACGCATGCGCGGCGCTTCCGGCCGAGGTGGTTGCTGGGCGACGGCCTGTGTGCAGCTGCAGGAGAGGAGACGGAGCGTGCACGCCTCCTCCTGCCTTGCCCACAGGGAAATACAGGTAGTCCTCGACTTACGACCATATGGTTGGCGTCACGGCATTGGGAAGGTTGAGAACCACTGATCTAGATTCTCTTAACTGTGTTTCTAACTTAACAACTGCAGTGATTCACTTGTGCATAAAATGGAACAAAGCTTTCTTAACAACTGTCTTGCTTAAGAACAGAAATTTTGGGCTCAATTGTTGTCATAAGTGGTGGACTACCTATATTACATAAATGTTCCCTCTCCAGTGTACCTGCATCTATTAAAATCACTAAATATATACACGACTATTGTTCCTTATGCAGCCTAAGGGAAGGAGATGGGAGAAATGCTAGAGTATTCTTATTTCTGTCTTTTAAAAATAGTTTCCTCTGCTGGGCTCACATGGCTGTTTAATCAGTATTTTGGAATTTTTAGATCTGCTTTTAAATATAATTGATTAGTATCACTGGTGAAAGATTTCTTATTAGTATTAACAGCTATGAATTATTTTGGTTATCAGGTTGCTTGCTTGTCCTCCTTTGAAGCAAATGTCTTTTCTAGCCTTGTTCTGATTTCATTTTTTTCCCACTTCTTTTAGAATACTGAACAAAGCCAGTCACAAATTCCAAAGGAAACGGTAAGAGTTTTGTCTTTGACATGTCAAGGAGGGTTGCAATGATTTTTGAATTAATAATGTTGGCGTACTCTATCAAAGGAAGATAGCTTTGTTCACAATGTATACTGCAGGTGGCTCTCTCCAGCTTTAAATTTAATTTCATGTTACATGCTATATTTACAGTAGCTTACATATATTCTGCAATATTTTAGGAATTAGAACTTGTGGCCTTGTTCCAAATCTGTATATTCAAATGCATTATTTAGATAAATAATTTAGATGTGGATAAAAATGCTATCTCTAGTTCCAGAAAATCATTTTTTTTAATTAAAAAGTTTTTATTTTCCATTTATTCATACAAAATACAATACCGCCTGCCCATTCCCCCCAGGCTGCGTCCACCCTCTCTAATCCTTCCCTACTTCCCTCTTCTTTCTCTCCTCCCCTCCTACTCTCTTCCCCTCCCCTTCTCCTCTAACCATCCTACTTCCTCCCTACTCCTTCCTCCTTTCTCATCCCTCTCACACACATGAACGCAGCATAGGGGAAATGCCCAAGCATTTACCATGACTATATTATCATTACCCACCCACTCACCCACCACCCACCATCAACCCTCCCCCCTTCGCTTCCCAGAGCAGAGTACAGAGTTATTAATAAGAAGGTTAACAATAATAAAAAAAGAAAAGAAAAAAGAAAAAAGAAAAAAAGAAAAAAACATCATACTTAACCTTTAACTCCTCTTAAATTAAGTCATATTAACAAATCTCTACAACAGTTACTATAAAATTTACTCATAAAATAAATGAAACTTTATAGTCCCATATTTTTTCTGAATATAATCTATCCATCTTCTCCATACAATAATATATCTTTCTTGTGTATGATCCTTCAAATAAGCAGAAATTTTTGCCATTTCTGCAAAGTTAGAAACTTTAAATATCCATTCTTCTAAAGTAGGCAACGAGTCCTTCTTCCAATACGAGCCTACTAATAACCTTGCTGCAGTTAATAAATTCAACATTAAAGTAGTTTCTTTGTCATTTAAATCCACAAAGATACCCAATAGGAATAATTGAGGGGTGAACTTTATCTTCCTTTTAAAAATCTTTTGAATGTTCCACCAAATCATAATCCAAAAAGCCTTTACCTTTTTACAATTCCACCAAACATGAAAATATGTCGCATCCATATTACCACATCTCCAACATTTGGGTTGTAAATTTGGATACATACAAGATAATTTTTTAGGATCTAAATGCCATCTGTAAAACATTTTATAAAAATTTTCCCTCAAATTTTGAGCTTGTGTAAATTTAACATTTCTAATCCAAATTGTCTCCCATAAGTCCAATGGGATCGGATCCTGGATATTCTGAGCCCATTTAATCATACAGTCTTTAACCAATTCTGTTTCAGAGTCTAATTCTATTAAAGCATTGTAAATTCTTTTTATATGGGCCTGACTCTGATCTTTAATCTGAATAACCAGATTTCCATCTTCTAGTGTTATTCCTTCTTTCTTATCTACAGTCACCTGTCCACTATTTGTAAATATTGAAACCATGACTGTAGAATATTTTCTTGCCTTAATACATCTAGAGATTTTAAATGCCAATCCGAGCCTGACCAAGTTAATAATTCTTTTTACGAAATTTTATCAAAGTTCATCCCCTTAGAAATCCCCTCAATTGCATGTCTAGGAATCCCCCAGATAGGTATTTTATAGTTTAACCTATAATAATACTTTTTCCAAACTCGAAGTAAGGCACTCCTCAAAATATGTGATTTGAAAGCCCGGTCCACTTTCTTATTAAAAATTAAATATGCATGCCAACCATACATTAAATCCCACCCTTCAAGAACAAAGATATCCTTATTTGTTAAATTAAGCCAATCACTTATCCAAGTTAAGGCGGCTGCATCATAGTATAATTTCAAGTTAGATGCTTTAAGTCCTCCTCTTTCTCGGGCATCTTGCAAAATCTTAAACTTAACCCTTGGTTTTTTCCCGGCCCAAACGAATTTATTGATACCCTTCTGCCATTCCCAGAAAATCATTTGTTGACCAACATTCTACAAGTGATTAAAACAAAAGAATCTTGAGACTGAACTACAACTTCTGTCATCCCCAGTTATCAGTTTTTAGGTCCCAGGACACATGTTCCCAAAATACTCACAATTATTTAAGAAGGAGTATTATATTTATTTTGAAGCTGTGGGTGATCTTCATTAACATATGAGCTAATTGTTAATCGATTATATAAGTAATTTAAAGCAGGGGAGTTCATAATTTTGGTTTTGCTTTTTGAAAATATTTTAATAAGAATTATAATGTCCTTAGTAGCCAAATGGTCTGTAATAAATACCAATTATATGAAGTTTGAACTTTAAACAGAGCCGCACTCATTTCTTTTCAAAATCTCATGTTATTATCCATATTAATTGGTAATATCAACACTAGAGAGTTTCAAGTTGATACAACTGTTTCAAAATATTAACACTTATGGAACAACACTAGCATAGTGACAATCTTTTAAGGTAAATTTAAAGCAAAGGCACTAAGTATACGTTTCAGAATGTAGTGGTTCCTTGGTAGAGACTTTACAGGGAAGATTAAAGAAAGGACTATAAAAATATAGTCACATATATAACTTTCTTATTGATGAGTTTGATTCTGATTAATAATTACAATAACAATAGCACTTAGACTTATATACTGCTTCATAGTGTTTTATAGCTTTCTCTAAGCAGTTTTCGGGGTCAGCATATTGCCCTCAAACAATCGGGGTCCTCATTTTATCCACTTCAGAAGGATGGAAAGCTGAGTCAACCTTGAGTTAGTCAGGATTGAGCTCCTGGCTGTGGGCAGAGTTAGCCTGCAATACTGCATTCTAACCACTGCACCACCCTAGCTAATAGGTAAATAATAAAACCAGATGCTCTTTTGTCAAATATATCTGGCCAAACTAAGATGTTTGTTTTATAGTCTTTATTGTAAGCTTTATTGTTATGCTCTGATGTACCAGGGTTTTCTTAAAACCCTGCATGTATCACAATCTGGGCTTCCTCTGCATCCTATGATGTGTATTCCAGGGATGTCCTATGCTAGTAAACTTGTCTCTAAATCAGCGGTCCTCAAACATTGATTGAGGATCTAAAGAGTTTTGGTTTAAGTGGATTATATCTATTGATATTTACTTAAAACTGATAAAATGTAAAATATTTATTGATTTGATTTTGTGGACCTTGAATAGTTCTTGGGAACCCCATGGATCCCCAGACCACATGTTGAGAGTCACTGCTCTAAATAATTTATAATGTGAGTGTTGGGGTGAATAAATATCTCTTTGAACAGCCTACATGATGATTTTGTATGCCAATAAGTATCTGTTAGAGAAAACATCTTGGTGACATATTTCCCCCTCTCTTTAAATCTATTCTGCATATCAAACAGAAGTCAGTTTGCTGAACTTGTTTCATAGTGTGTCACATGTGGATTCCATTCTCTTCCCTATTTGGTTCTACATGATTCCCCATTTAGGTTTCCTGTTTCTAGTTGTCAGATCCTTCAGTTTCTTATAGTTTTTTTTTTACCATTGTTGTAGTCTCTCTTGTACTGTTAATGGTGAGTATTGCTGTCATGAGGCTGACAGCAGAAGAAAGCAAAGCTGAACTATTAGCAATAAGAACACTGGGAAAATCACACAAACTTAGTGTTTGCCTTTCCTCCCCCTACATTATCTTTCAAGCATTTACAGCATATGTTGAAGGGGATGTCAAATGGTATTTGGGGTGAAACTGAACCACTTTAGAAGTTTATTTTGAACAAAAAATAAAAGTATATCTTTAATATTTATGCAGTAACATTTCAGCACTTGAATTTTCATAAATGAAGTCATTGCAGATCACCGGATGCATTAATCTGAAAGTGCACCCACCCCATTGCCGGCAATGGGGAAAAAGTTGTGATATGTCACGCAACGTCATGTGATGTCACGAATTTGACATGCCTGGTATAATGAAAGGAATACAGTATATTGGCAAATTCTGGACAATATCTGTGATGTCACTAAAAGTAAACACTTTTTTTTACTGATCTCATTTATGCCAATTGCAAGTTAGCAATAGCACTTAGGCTTATATACCGTTTCATAATGCTTTACAGAACCCTGTAAGCAGTTTATAGGGCAAGCATACTGCTCCTAACAATCTGGTTCTTCATTTATCGACCTCAGAAAGATGGAAAGTTTTACCTTGATTAATTTGGTTTAGAAGACTGTAAGCTCTACAATTCTTTTTTTTCTGAAGCATTTAAGAATAGAAAATAATTATCCAAAGGTTCAAGTCGCCAACAGACATAAGTGTCATGCCTCTGTCCGAGCCTGACTCTGAGGATGACATGGAGTTCCCTGTTGAGGCCCAAGAGAGAGTGTCTGTGGCTTCGGAGGACTGTGGGAAGGAACAGGCTGAAACAGGCCAGGGCCCTTCAAGTTTGGAACAGGGAAGGCAGAGCTCAGGCGAGGAGCAAGGCCCCTCCACACCAGATCCCAGAGCAAGGAGAGCAGAGAGGAGGAGGGAACAATGGAGGCAGGCTCACTTGCTCAGGAGGAGAGCATCATGCCCCACTGGCACACCTGGGGAGTAGGTATTTAAGGAATGCTGTGGGGTGGGGCATTTGCCGGGAACAAACGTGAACTCTTGTGATGTGAACTCTTGTACCTGGACTCTTTGTATTTTGGATCAAATTTGTTTTCTGCTGAGTTTTCCTTGCTGTCTTCAGTTTTGCAGTTTGCAGGTTACAGGCAAGCTGGGCGTTGAAAAGATCATACTTTGTTTGTTATCTGTTTTACTTTAAAGAACTGTTTAACTCCGTTGACCTTTTTATTGAACTTGTGCCAGCATATGTGGGGGCTGTTGGGTGAACGTTGGCAGTGCTTACAAAGACAATTATTCTGACCAGCTAATTCCTTTGCCTCCGTTCGGGGCTCTGGGTCATCACACATAAGTATCAATTTTTG